GAGAGAGAGAGAGAGAGAGATTTCGAAGAGGATAGAATCCAGGTAGAACTCAATGTCCAGGACAGAGTAAGAATATAATATAAAAGGCTCAAACACTAATATTCTAAAGTTATAATTTATTACATTGGAATCGTAATCACGATCCAATTCATAAGACCTACAAATTCAAAAAGAAATCGGAAAATATAACTCCGGGTATAAAAAACAAAATTTTAGTGAGAGTGTATGTGTGGGAGTGGGAAACAAGTGTGAGAGGGAAATGTATGAAAGCTCTAGAGAGAGGGTGTAACAGAAGAAAGAAGAACAGGAAAGCCTCAAGGTGAAGGTGGTGATTAAAATTTAATAGAGAAAAATTTTAAAGAGAGGAGTTAAATAACGGTTTAAATGAGTGAGATGCATCTCATACTAATTTGAATGTGGGTTACTTTCTTTTAATGTAGATGGCCTCCAATATCTGAAGGTTCTTTTTACTGTGTGCGTATGTGTGTGTATTATTGTGTTATCAACTAATATCTGTCTAATATTATGTACATGGCTATGTTTTTCTAAGAAATGTTGTTTAATAGAACTAAGATCAGAAAGGTGACAGGTAAGCCTACGGGAGTGCGTGGTTGTAGTAAAACCAATATATGTAGTGTGTTTATTATTAGTATCAGAGATATTATCTCTGAACAGGCATGTAAATTGATACACTACATTGTTTTTGGTAGAGGATTTGGTTATAGGGTTATTAGAGACTATGAGGTCAATTGTTTTATATTTTTGTCTTTATTTTCACCCAAAATTAAAGCAAGCATACGAATATTAGATCGGCATATGATCAGACATAATAGACATTCATTGTCTGTTATATTTAACAACAATAAAAGGTTTATATATATATATATATATATATATATATATATATATATATATATATATATATATATATATAAGTGTGTGCTTTTAACTGAAGCTGCCGATACAACCAAACTCTTAAACGTAAGACAGACGCGGGAAAAAAGAAGAAAAAAAAAAAAAAATAAGGTGGGGAAAAACTGATAGTGTTGAAGCATGTAGTTAACAGAGATAAGGTTCCATGAGTAGATTCGTCACTGTTCCTTGACATTGTCAAAGGATCCATTGGCTCGGGACGCCATTCGATACACCAGACAATTGACAGCTGCAGACGACATCCGCGTATCACGTGACTCAATATGGCTACCAAAAAGTGAGACCAATCCACTGATCAAGAAACTGTTGATATGTTACGAACTGTACAGCGATAGCCAGTACCAGAAATTTTCAAGATGTTCATGGTGTGTTCATTCCTAGCAGAAGGCATTTGTGCTAGCAGGAGATAGAGACCAAGAAATACGTGGCATTATATTCCAGATTGTTGCGTGCGAATATTGTTGCCTTTTGAAATCCGAAGGCGCTTTGACATCGCGGAAGATGCCTTCCTAAATCTAAGCAAAGTATTAAGAAACAGGAAAATCTCGTTAGAAACAAGGAAAAAGAATGCTTAAATGTTATGCAATATCGGTCCCTGGACAATCTCATCACAAATGAAGAAATAACTTGAAATATGGCTCTACCGAAGGATACTGAAAATACAATGAATTGAATATGTGAGCAACAATGAATTTTAAAGAAAATGGAAACAAAAAAGCCACTTACATTATTCGGACTGTTACCCTATTTTCACCGCCATATTCACAACGTTTCGGCCGTTGTACGTTCCGGCTTTTTTCAGGTCATTGGAATTTCGAACAAAACCCTTTATTTCGTCCACCGTGTTAGATTTCTCTAGTTCCACGTGCCATGCCTCTTCCGGATGTCTCAGTTATATCTCTTTAATTCAACTCTCTAAGTTTTCTTTTTCACCACTGCTGTAGAAAGCCGGAGCGTACAACGATCGAAGCGTTGTGAATATGACGATGAAGATGTGGATAACAGTCCGAATAATGTAAATAATGTAAGTAATCTTAATACCTCATCTCAAAGATATGGATCGATATTGAAAATGGACACTTATATTTAACATCAGAAATAGACAATTGTAATTTCTAAGGTATTTTATGAGAAAAGAGGACTTAGATAATTTGACACTCACAGGTCAGATTGAAGTGAAAATGAACAGATGAAAACAGCGCATGACCGACCTAACGGACTTGTGCAAATGGTTGGCAGAACGGGGATTAGGAGAGATCGCAAATCGGCAAATTTACTAAGAGATACAAAAGATAGAAAATTGTGGAGAGCCTTGACTGCCAACATCCTGAAGGGATACGGCACATAGAAGAAGAAGAAAAATTTTGTTCCACGAGTTTGGGTTTTGTCTGAAAAGAACTGTTACATGTTGCTTCATGTTACCGGCAGAGGATTTTAAGTATTCATGTCCATAGGTAAGAAAGATGTGAATAGTATATACTCATAAATAAGTTAGACATCATAAGAACTAACAATCTTTCAGCTGACATGCTACAAAATATCACCTTAGGCAAAAGAAGATGAGACAGAGGAAAAAATGATATGAAAACATCTTTGAGTGGACTGGAACACCATTAACAGAGACTCGAGCATCGACATGCAACCAATTGATTGATTGATTCGTTTTTTTTTATTTCTTTTGGTGTGAGGAACCCAATGTTTGTAAAATGTTTGTAAAAGTATTTATGATATATATATATATATATATATATATATATATATATATATATACCACAGTTTTGAAGCCATCCCCCAGAACTAGCATGGGATGAACTGGGAAGAAAAGGGGAAAAAAATGAAAAAGAGCTCTTAGAGTCAGAGAAAAAAGAATGGAATCGATTATCTAAATTATACTCTTAGAAACTTTTGCAACGAATACCAAAAATTTGTGCTGCGGTAATCAAGTCTAAAGGAGGATATTTTGACGAGGGAAAAATGTAATCATAAAATGCTTTTATTCTTTATGACATAATAAAATTTCTAATAAAAAAATCATGTCTCATTTTTTTTAACCATGAATAATAATTTTCTCTTAAAGTACAAAACAACTACTTTTTGAGCCAATTTAAAAATTGCCAGGGGTCAACTCAAACATCTGAACTGTTGTATATATATATATATATATATATATATATATATATATATTCAGGGACAATGAGAACGAGGTCTGTATTGATCTCCTGGTAGTATTATTAACATTTTATGCGGATGTATTGGTAATATAGTCAGCATTTTTGACATTTTACATTTTCTGATTGATATTATAAACATCTTATATGGATGATATTTATTTAACGGTTGCATATTATTTACCAAATAATTCTATATGTTTAGATTATTTACTAGTTTCTTAAAGAGGTCTCTTATTTATCAACTACAAAAAAATATGTAGAAAATACACAAAGCATTTTACTAGTTGGGCATTCGGTTAAATTACCTTTCTACACCGCTGCTTTTATTTCTTATGAAAGCTGACTTTCTGACATGTCTACATTTTATGTAACCGTCTGTATCAGTCTTTAAGTTAGTGTCTGGCAGTTGTTAGATGTCAATTCTAAGATAATAATTTATATTTTTTTCGCTTAGTTTTAATTTAGCGTAGGTCATATTTGATTGGTTGATCAGGGTAAAGCCCTCAAGCCATATATATATATATATATATATATGTGAAAAGAGGGTGTACTTCGATTTTGAAACCAAATAAATTGTTCACTCGTCAGTAATTTACGATCGCCTGAGGATACGCGTTGAAACACAACTGCAATTGTGTAGCGATTTTTACATGTTTTTGTTGTAATATATATATATAGAGAGAGTGAGAGAGAGAGTGAGAGTGAGAGAGAGAGTGAGAGTGAGAGAGAGAGTGAGAGTGAGAGATTGAGTTAGGCACGGTGGGGTAATGGATAGCGGCTTGGATTGAGGGAGCGTAGAATCCAGTTACATTCATTTACGTGCTAATACCCTACGGAAAGGTGTGAATCCTCTGCTTTTCCCTCCAGCTATGGGTAAATAGAAGGACAGACTGGGTTGTATAGCCTTGGATGGCAACTGGTCTAGGAGAAGGACAACTCTGAATTCAAAACCTGCGGAGGGTCATTTGGGGACCCTGTGGCACGTAGTGCACCAGGTCTCTGTATTCGGCCCTTCAAAAAGTTTGGGTGGTCCTGCACGAAACCTTCACCACTATAATCAAATCTCATGTGCCGGTGTCGGGCTGTCGGTTTCCTAGGAACTGATCTACTTGACCCTCATACGTCGAATTCGACGGGAGAGTCGAATATATATATATATATATATATATATATATATATATATATATATATATATATATATATATATATATATAGTAGTATTTAACTTGTGTTAGATTGAGATTGATTTATATATTATATATGCGTTTGAATGATATATAACCGATTCCTTTTAATTTTTTCTTATATTTGTGGTTAACTTGGCTTCTGTTGTTCCTGAGTACAACTATGTGAAGACATAGCTGAAAACGCTCCTCATAGATAAAAGTTGCACTTACTAGAACTCTCTTGCAATGGTCGTAGGCAATTCTGATTGCAGCAAGGGTCCCAGTACACTGTTCCCTGTGATAGATATTGTAGTACTGACTGCAGGACTGGCTGTTCAGTTATTCTTGGTATTTTTATGGGAGATAAAACTTACCATGCCAAAAAAAGATCGTAGTTTTAGAGGCTCTACTTCTTAAGTCTTTATGTTAATTTACAGTGCCAGGGAACAAGCATGACGAGTTTGCGAACGATGGTTTTTGGGGGTCCTTCCCTTTCATTCCTGTCAAAGAGATTTGCTTTCGAATTGAAATCAAGTGAGAAATTCTCATTTCTCTCTTGATTCGTCCGAATAATTTCTTTATTTCTTTTTCAGTTACATTTTGTTCCGAAATCTCATCAGAAAAATAACCTGGTATAAGTTGTCGATCCCGTTTGTAACTAGGACTTTGAAAATGACTTTTAATCACTAAGTGTGACTGAGTTAATCGCTGCGATGAAATTACACACCAGATGGATCAGTTTTCATCTATCTATCTATCTATCTATCTATCTATCTATCCCAGTTTCTTTCTTTCTTTCTTTCTTTCTTTCTTTCTTTCTTTCTTTCTTTCTTTCCCAGTCTGTTTCTTTCTATCTATCTATCTATCTATCTATCTATCTATCTATCTATCTGTTTGTTTCTTTCTATTTTTCTTACAAATCTTGGTTCTATCATTCGAGCTAAGGTAAAAGTCAAACTAAGAATCTAACATTTTAAAGTTATTTTAACACCCCCCTCCTTAATATATTTGTGCAACATAATCTTCCTTTTTCTGGTTTTCATATAAGACGTTTAATCATCTTGACACCATTTTGTGTACGAATCGCTGAAAAACCTTTTGCATTATTCATCTAGAAAGAGAACAGATTAAAATAATTTTGAGTCAGCCGCACTATTTTTTCCCAAATGAGCAATGTTAAGAGGAAAAAGATCATTCAGGCCTTCAGTAATGGTACCAGCATTCATACTCTAGCTTCCATCTTCAAAGTCTATTCAAGAACCATCAAGAGAACGGCGAATAATTTAGAGAGGAAAACTGGATCGGGAGGTTAGAGCAGCAAGAGGGATCATCATTTCAACTTAGAGCTAAATACATTATTATTATTCAACGTGGCGTCCAGTGGTGTTATATAAACCTCGGAGAATTCCAGTAATATATCTTTAATCATTTCTAAGATACAACGGTTCAAAGCTTAATCTAACAATTGGACAATTTTGCTGTTATAGAATTTGGATAACTTTGTTGTTACACCCGGTATATATATATATATATATATATATATATATATATATATATATATATATATATATATATATATATATATATACAGGATGCGACAGGAATACTTCCGTCATTTTAAACTGTCACCTGTTTGATGCTGGTGAACTTAGATAAGTGGAAATGATGTCTTTCTTTAGCTAATATCTTACCATTTATCTTTCAGATACCATGATTTACCGTCTTGGTGCGTCCTGGGAGTGACAATAAACTACATCAGCAAGGATTCTGATGAGCGGGGTTTGTGAAGTGTGGAACCACCTCTTCATTTCTGTTTTTTCCCCAGGTCCACACTAACCCGTGTGGTAGTACCTGTTAAGATCCCAGTTATGGGCAAAGAGTGAACCCCCATCCCCCAATAAACAAAACACTCTGAAATTATAAAAATACATTTTTATAATAAAATTACCAGCAATATATTTTCGTAGTTTAAAAAATTATTTTTGTGTGAAAGAAATTTCTAATGCTCACAAGAAAATTAAATTTCGGCATTAAATGACCCAAAATGTGTTGATATGCCGTTAAGCTAAAAACAAACAAACCATCATGGTGCACATTGTCTATTTCCTGTTTTTGCAAATTTTGTGACGTGCGGTGGCCGTTAATAATTAAGTATAACTTAAGATTTTAATGATAAAATAAAACAGTATTTAATTACAACCGCAAATAAATACTTAACAAGAACAAAGAAGTAAAAGTCAACTAAAGAAAATTAACCATTTCAGTGAATACCTTGTTAATAGCGCGGCTCGGCTTAACGTCCGGTAAATCCTTAATCAAAACCCAAATCATCGACGCACAATAATTCACACTAATTCGACTGGATAGTTCCACTCAATAAGCACACAATAATCACTCCAGTCAGTATCCTGACACCGCTATTCATACACCTAGCGGAAAATATATATTCATAAGTTCGGAGTATCATGCTTGAACCTCGGTGTCAGTAGTTACTCATTTTCTTCCAATATGACAGTAAAGAATGCTGGATCGGTAATTGCAACACAGATCTTTTCGTTCTCATTTCAAGTTTTATCGGGATGATGCTGTTCCGAATAGAAAATCGGTACGAAAATTTCAAGGCCATAGTTTCAGCGATTAAAAGCAAACCAGCCGGAAGACCTCGGCACGCTCATACTTCCGGTTGAAGGAAAACCTTAGAAATAATCTACAACAGTGTAATGAGGAATAGCAACTACCATTTGGAGAATGTCATTTTAAAACGAAATTAATAAAACCAACAACAACAACAACAACAGTGAATTAACTTTTTTAATGGCAGTTACCTTATTTCTTGTCAATCGTTAAAATGTGGGAAGTATTTCTGTAAAGCCCTGTATATATATTTTTTTTCTCAAGAATTGATAGATTTTTATTTATTATCTGTCTATATTTCTGAGATGAAGTATTATGTACACTATTTACATTATTCGGACTATTGTTTTCATCTTTGTCGCCATATTTATTACAACGCTTCGGCCGTTGTACGCTCCGGCCTTCTTCAGTGGGTTGGAATGTCGAACTGAACCTTTTATTTTGCTCACTGGGGTAGACTGTTCTAGTTCCACGTGCCATGTCTAATGGATGTCAGTTATCAGTTATCTCCTGTTAATTCCCCTCTCCAAGTTCTCTACTGACTTAACCGGGTATTGAACTCACACACTTTGGGTCCTGACACTGGATCTAATCAACGCCTTTATCCACTTTGCCATGTGTTCTTATTTATTAATTCGACAGGTTTTATTACTTAAACGTTATTTTTAGTGGATGTACATATTTAAGTAGACGCTCCGTTTATTTATTAAAGAGCATATTTGTTTAATTTCCTTTACCGGCCTGAATATATTAGGAATTTAAATAAATAAATAAGTGCGATCTCCGGCAGGATTAGAACCTGCCTCTTCCCTGGAAGGGAAAACCGTCTTTAGATACGACGTGCTTTAGAACCTCACGGTCACGAATTGCCTCGGTGATCAATTAAAGTTGAATAGTACCTTATAATCTCTCTCAGACTCTCGAAACATTCAAATCTGCTCAGTTTCGTATCCTAACGTAAACAAAGCAATTTCTAAAGAAGAGGATTTTTATCTCTTAACCCGAAAGATTTTATTATGTAAACATTATCTTTAGTGGCTACTCACTATTTGAGTATAATTATATATTTTGTCTATTGGCCTGAATATACGGTGGACGAAAATCAATAAATATACTTGTTGTATCCTTAAAGAGGTTACAAACAGACAAAGGTGGTACTCGAGTGAAGGAACGGCAACACACACATAGATGAAAGAAGAGTGGTTTATTATAAAAGAGAATATACTACTGAAAGACAGGGAATCGGGTGGCAGGCTAGTAATTCCTGAAGCAATCCCCCAGGAGTATCCTGTGCTCACTACATATAGCTATTTATGTAGTCACTACACATAGGCGATAGGGAGTGTGAGACATTCCATTACAACAATACTGTTTAATAAATAAACAAAGCGTTTACTCAAAGACAACTATCCACTAAAAATAACGTTTACATACACACAAACAAAATTCAGAGACAGATATGCAATGTGATAGGTCTGGTACCTAGTCCACAGTCGCTTTCCCACAGACGTGCCGTGGCTTCCCTCTGTCTCTTCTATAAATATTTTCATGACAACTATTCCGACGATTTGCTTTCAATGGTTCCCAGACTGCATGAATTCAAGCGAGCTACCTGGATGGCATTTCGGTCCCACCCTTTCACTGTCGAAACGGTTAAATATAACCGTCTCTTCTACTCCAACAGCTTCTAACTCCCGCACTTCCCGTCTGTGGAACTCCCTTCCTCTTGCTTGTTTCCCTGATAGCTATAATATTCAAATATTCAAGTGTAACGTCAATAAACATCTGGTACCTTGTTCCCCGTCCTTTTCTGTAAAATTTCCGCAAACATACTCTTTGCTCTTGTTCAAAATTCTCTGTAACCCCTTGTGTGCTAGTGATATATATATATATATATATATATATATATATATATATATATATATATATATATATATATAGATGTGTGTGTGTGTGTGTGTGTGTGTGTGTGTTTGATAAAAAAACTTAAATGCAATGTAACTCATAATCTTCTGTCTTCTTAATTCCTGTTCTATTATTGATCTCGCTACTTAATTGTGTTTTATTTAGTTTTGTCTTTTTCATATTCTTTCACACTCAGTAACCCTTTACATCTTTTTTTATATATATATATATATATATATATATATATATATATATATATATATATACTACTCGACTCTCCCGTCGAATTCAACGTATGAGGATCAAGCAGATCGGTTCCTAGGAAACCAACTGCCTGAAAATAGCACATGAGATTTGATTATAGTGGTGAAGGTTTCGTGCAGGACCATCCACACTTTTTGAAGGGCCGAATACAGAGACCTGGTGCACTAAGTGCCACAAGGTCCCTAAACGACCCTCCGCAGGTTTTGAATTCAGAGCTGTCCTAGACCAGTTGCCATCCAAGGCTATAGAACCCAGTCTGTCCTGCTATTTACCCATAGCTGGAGGGAGAAGATGAGGATTCACACCTTTCCCAAGGGTATTAGCACGTAAGTGAATGTAATGGATTCGACTGGAATTAGAACTCGGCTCTCCGATTCTCGAATATATATATATATATATATATATATATATATATATATATATATATATATATATATATATATATATATATATATATATTGAGGAATATGTGTGTCGGCGTGTGTGTGATTCATCGAGCAGCGCTATATCGGGTATCGATACCTCTTCGTCACCGATGGAACAGTTGGTATGACGTTTGCGTGATAACGTAACTGTCCGGGTTTCAGTTCTCGGTAGTGGACGCGCACTGCTGATGAGTCCCAAATATAGGGCGAAACGGCCGTCTAGTGCATTCTGTTGAGGTTTCTTCTAGACTCGATGAATTACTTACTTATAATTATCTCAAATATCCTCCTAATTTCTATCGCATGTGTATATATATATATATATATATATATATATATATATATGCTGCCATGGGTACATTGTCACCATTTTATATTTTTAATTTCGGGCATGTGCGTTGTTTATTTTTTGGATTTTGCCGACTGAACAGTAAAGTACAATCAGTTGGCCACCGTCTGTGAGAAAAGGAGCCCCATGACGCAATTCATTCCGGCAAAAATTTGGAAACAGCATGTACTGCCTCGCATTTGCGCTGGAAGTTCTAATACGAAGATTTCAGAGTGTTTTGATGTCAACCTGAGGACATTGCAGAGGATTCAGAAAGAGTTGGATGATATATCCAGTCAACATCATGGTGTTTGGAGTGGTTACTAGTGATGGCGACGTTATGCCTCCATTCATCTTCCCATGGAGCCTCAGACTCAACACGGAGGCCT